GGCTTTGACTCTTGGTTTTACACTTATATATTTGTATTCCGTTTCGAAAATGGTTTGACAACTTATATCTTACCTATTTATGTTATTTCACATGTATTGGTGGGTTACCAGCATTAATCGCTGACCGGGCGTCATCCCATGTTTATCTTTGTGTTCTTTCAGGTGATGTTTAGTCGAGCGCGATGTCTAGTGCCCGATAGTGTAGTATCTTTCCCTTGCTTTACGGCCTGTGAGCCGATTTAGCTTTAGACTATGAGTTTTTGGATAGTTGTATACCATGCAGATTTGGCCGTAGCGTTTATCGTGTTGATAAGCGTGGCATAACACCCCTGTTTTTGATTTTATGTTATCCAGTTACCCTTTTTATCTTCCGTTGTGCTAGTGTTTTGTTATGGTATCTGCATGCGTTAAGGCTTTTATTATAGCTTATTTTGAGGGGGTGTTACACAAGAACCTTGAATCCCGATCGGAGACTATATCTTTTGGCACTCCCTGATACTTCACTACCTGACTAGCATAGGCTTGGGCCAACTGCGTCATTGTCCATGTTTCTTTCATCGCGATAAGGCGACCGGTCTTGGTCAAGCGATCAACTATTACCCAGATTTTATCTTTACCGAAACGGGTTGCTGGCAAGCCTCCCACGAAGTCCATAGATATGGAGTTCCATTTTCCTTATGGAACCTCCAATGGTTGTACCAAGCCTTTGACCCTGCAACGCTCCGCTTTCAGCTTTTGACAAGTCAAGTATCTGCCCACAAACTCCGCCACCTCCTTCTACATGTTAGGCCACCAGAAAAGCTTCTTCACGTCTTTATACAATTTGTCGCCTCCAAGATGTACAGTATAGGGTGTACTATGGCCTTCTTCCAAAATCTGACGCTTCAACCGATCACAAGATGTAGGTACACATAGATGGCCTGCGTACCTCAACTCTCCATCCGTGGACAACTCAAACGGTCCCCCCTTTCCCTATTCTAGGTCCTATCTTGCCTTCATCAAGTTAACATCCTTCCATTGTTCCGGTTTGATCTCCTCCAAAAGCGTAGGTATGACCCTTAGGTTTAAAAGACGAGTTTCCGACTCAACTTCACCTTGTTCCACCACTTCTAGGTTCAACCTTTGCAATTCCTTGCAAAGCTCATCAGCCACTACCCAAATGGAACTAACGGCATGTTTGGTCTTCCTGCTCAGAGCGTCCGCCACAACATTTACCTTTCCTTCGTGATATTGTATATCCAACTCATAGTCTTTAATGAGTTCCAACCACCGTCTCTGACGCATATTGAGATCCTTCTGGGTGAAGATATACTAGAGACTCTTGTGGTTCGTAAAGATCTTGCAGCGCACGCCATACAAATAATGCCTCCAAATCTTCAAAGCGAAAACCACGGCTGCCAACTCCAAATCATGCGTGGGGTAGTTCTCTTCGTGTACTTTAAGCTGTCGCGATGCATAAGCTATCACTCTCCCATTTTGCATCAACACACAACCTAGTCCCTTCTTAGATGCACCACTTTATACCTCGAACCCCTCTGTCCCGGATGGTTGGATTAGCACTAGTGTGGTCGTGAGCCTCCCTTTCAACTCCCGGAACGCTAATTCGCATGCTTGATTCCATTGGAAGGGCATATCCTTGTTCAACAGCTCTGTTAACGGTTGAGCTACCTTCGCGAAGTCCAACACAAACCTTCGATAATAACCCGCTAAACCCAAGAAGCTTCTTACTTCCGACACGGTTGTCGGCACGGTCCATTCTTTCACCGCCCGAATCTTATCTGGATCCACTGATATACATCTGCTGTCTATCACATGGCCCAAGAATGCTACGCTATCTTTCCAAAACTCACATTTTGAAAGCTTGGCGTACAACTGCTTTTCCCTCAGGATCTGCAGTACTGTCCGAAGATGACCCACATGCTCTTCTTTATCCCGAGAATACACAAGGATGTTGTCTATGAACACGATCACGAAGTCGTCGAGATGAGGCTTGAATACACGATTCATTAGATCAATGAACACTGCTGGCGCGTTGGTTAACCCGAACGGCATTACCGTGAACTCGTAGTGGCCGTAGCGCGTTCGGAACGCCGTCTTAGGTATATCCTGATCTCCCACTTTCAATTGCTGGTAACCTGATCTCAAATCAATCTTGGAGAACACCTTGGCACCTCGGAGTTGATCTAATAAGTCGTCTATCCGCGGCAGGGGATACTTGTTCTTGATTGTGACGTGATTCAACTCGCGGTAGTCGATGCACAACCTCATGCTTCCATCTTTCTTCTTCACAAACAACACTGGCGCTCCCCACGGTGACGTACTCGGCCGGATGCAACCTTTGTCTAACAATTCTTGCAACTGAGTCTCCAACTCCTGCATCTCCTTGGGCGCTAAACGATAGGGAGCTTTGGATATAGGCACTGTACCGGGTATAAGTGTAACACCCCGTGTTACGGCCTTTAATCCTGGATTAATTATTTAATTAATCCCGCTAATAATAATTAAATATGATTAATTATGTTAGGTTCCCCTTTAGTTAATTAATAGGGTCCACCATGAACCGTGGACCCTTGCCTAAATTAGAGGCTTAAGCCTATTAGGAATAAAGATAGTAAACCTTTTACTATTCAGATCCTAATTGGGAATCCTAGACCTAGTTATCTATTAGGTATAAAGGAAGTAGGCCTTTTACTATTCAGATTGTGATTAGGATCCGCTTTAATTAATATGGACCCTTATCCCTAAAGCAAGTCCCTAAGTCCTATAAGGAATAGAATTAGTAAACCCATACCATTCAGGCCCTAATTAGGAGTCTTAAATATATAAATAGGGAACTTAGGAGACACCTGGAACCCTCCACACGCCTAGACGCCCCATCACCCCAGGAGAGCTCCAAGAATTCCCTTAGGAGAAATCAAGAAAGCAAGAAAGCTTAAAGGAAGATCCTTCATAGCCAAGGAATTAATTAAGACTAAGAGGTAACCCATGTCTCAACAAAACCTATTTTCATAGCTATGATTTCCCCTTAGGGTTTCCCCCATATTGTTGTAAATGGCGATTGATGATGATTATTATTGATGTCGATATAATGATTCCATGAGGAATCTTGATAATCTTGATATTGGGAGTTTCTTGATAATTATGATGTTCTTGATGAATAATTGGGATTCTTGATGATTATGTGTTGTTCTTGATGATTATGATGTCCTTGATGATTAATTGGTATCCTTGATGATTATATGTTGTTCCTATCGAATCTTGCAATTAGAAGACGAACCATATTCTTGTTGATATAAAAGTGATTAGAACCCTAGGTTGTATCATATAATCTTATTCTTGGATTATCGGGTGGGAAATCGCATGTTTGGGTGTTGATTATGATTAGAAAAGCATGTTAGGTTATGTGCCGTTCGTTTATCGTATTTGATCTGTTAATTGTCTATGTGTTGTCGTTAATTACGTTGAAAGGTGTCTAAGCATGGTTTCGGGTTCCACAACGGTTCCCGGGACGAAAAGTGGTGAAAAGAGTCAGTGGGTGGTAGGTGGGGGGTAGGGGACCCACCACCTACCCGCGGCAATTCGGGCAGCCCCGGCAGCGGGCAGCTGCCCGCCGGGCACCCGCTGCCCGGAACAGTGTTACCGGCGGGCAGCCGGCGGGTGGCCCCCCACCCACCGGCTACCCGCTGGAAATTCCCCCCCTCGGGACCCCGGCTTCCCCGTTTGATGTTTCCCCGATCCCCGTGGTGTCCCAACGGACCCCGTTTGTCATGCCTATGTCTAGTTTGATGTTTCGGGTACCGTTCGTAGGGTTATGAGTCTCATGTATTGCATGCTAGTTGAATTGGTATCCCGTTGACCTAGGAGGAAGAAGTATGATCCCCTTAGGACTATTCTTAGTACGTGATGGATCACGCCTAAGGTTGTTATACGCTTTATTCCCCTTCCCAATGTGTAATGTGGGTTGCATGTGCTTGCTATGTGTTATGTGTGCGTGTTGCCCCAATTCGGTTGCGATCGGATTGGTTATCCTGAGCTGCGGTTCAGAAGCCGGCTACAGTCAGATGGGAATTCCTGGCTGCAGTCGGATGACGATATCCTGGGCTGCGGTCCAGAAGCTGGTTGTAGTCAGATGGGAATTCCTGACTGCAATCAGATGACATTTTCCTGAGCTGCGGTTCAGAGGCTGGCTGTAGTTAGATGGGAATTCCTGGCTACAGTCAGATGACACACTCTCTTGGGCTGCGGTCCACTGTTTGGTTGCGATCAAACATTATGATGAGCTGCGGTTCATCGGTCGGTTGCGATCGACCTCCCCATGTTGCGATACGGGGCATGGTGCTGCGGGGCTGTGTCAGAGCTATATGCGCTGACCCTCATGTATGGGCATGCGATCGGTCCTGTGGCGCCAACAATGTGCGTTATGTGTGTGATATGGGCGAGATTGTGATTATGTGTGCCTTGGGATGTGACTATGGGATTTGTATTGGGGATTGTTTATGATGGGTTGTGATTATTGTTTATGCCTTGCCTTATCTGCCTTATCTATTGTGAACTGCATATGACTGTTATAACTATTGCTTGTGTCTGACCTTATCTGTCGAGTCATTCCCGGTTTTAAAAGCTAGAGTTCGTAGGATATATCTTCATGCTCACAATGGTTTTCGTATATCTATATATATATCTCTATATGTATTGTATTTCAACGCGTTGGAGTGGGTTACCAGCATCTCTCACTGAACAGATATATTTGGCTTTCAGGCACAGAGGATTAGAGCACTGGAGCGCGCTAGAACTGGAGCGTAGAAGTAGTATAGTTTCCCTTTCGGCCTGCGTGCCATGTTATGCATTTATATTTCGGAGGATAGTAGTTAGACAGCCTGTGCACCTGGGTTCTCTAGCCTAGGTGTGGCATAGCACCCCGTACACTTATGTTACGCTTTGGGATTTAATGAGATGTTACCTTTATGATTAAGTTTTAAATGTCTTGAAAATCAGGGGTGTTACAATAAGATCCACTGAGAATTTAACTTCCCTTGGAGGAGGCATTCCCGGAATCTCCTCGGGGAAGATATCGAGGAATTCAATACAACAGGTATGGTCTGAGCTACATCTCTTTTGGCCTCCAGGTTTTCAACTGAGCACAAGAAGCTCTCGTGGCCCTTCTCCACGTACTTTTTGATCTTCATCATGGACACTAACTTGATCCCTGGTTCTTCTGTTGACCCTCTGTACGACACCCTCTTTCCACTTGGTCCTCTCAAAACCACATTCTGTTCACCACACAAGATCTGGGTTCTGAACCGTCCTAGCCAGTCCATACCCAGGACCACATCTACCCCGTCCAGGCCGAACTGTATTAGATTACTGGAAAACTCTTCTCCGGCGAAGGCTATCCTAACGTCTTTGAAGAGACGATCACAAGCCTTAACTTCTCCTGATGCCACTTTGACATTAAGCTTCACCCCGACACCTTCGGTTAGGCCCAACTTCTTCACGAGTTCCAGGGATATGAACGAGTTGGACGCCCCGGAATCGAACAAGATTACTGCTGGAACGGCATGCACCAAAAACATTCCGATCACTACATCACTGTCCCCGACCCGAGCCTCGCATAGGATGAGGGTCCTCTCTTGGGTTAACTCTTCTGACAAACACAAGGCTCAAATTCAAGTCCAAAACATGCCAAATCTCACCAAATACAACAAAATGAGTTGAATCAAAGGAATAGCAAACCAATGGCATACATGAACCCTAAACACAAGCTCTAGATATGCATTTTCACAAGACAATGCATAAACACTCACATTTCATAGCAAAATCACATGTAGAATCCAAGAAATCATCATATAGGTAAACAAAATATATTTTGTAGAGCATGGGTTACCTCGTGTAGACAAAAACCTTCACTTAACACCTCACCGAGCTCCTAATAAGGCTCACCTTCCAAACCCACTTCAAGAATACACCAAAAAGGTCATAAAGATTCTATCTTTAAGAAAAGACACCTTAAAAGACACTAAAAACACAAAATGTACATAGATCTTACCCTCCTAGATGCCCAAATGTATGAAAGGTAGAATCTTGGAGAAAACTCTTGAAGATCTGACAAAGCTTCAACTTGGCTTGGAAGAAAAACTATCTACCTTTTTAGAGAGAAGGTAGAGCTAAAGTTTGGAAAGTGTAAGGAGAGAAATGAGGTTTGTCTACTTGGTTAGCTTGCATTACTAACACAAGGTGAAAATTCATGAATATCCTTACTAACATAAAGAGGTGTAAGGGAACAAGGGAACTCCTTATAAGGCTTAAGGTACAACCTTGACTTTGGGGTTGACTAGTCAATTACTAGTCCCCGACTATTGAATTTTCAGGAATTTAAGGAATTAAATTACCAATTGGTTTAGGATTAATTACTTAATTAATCCCTTAATTGAATTTGGACTACGGGGTGTCAAAATGACTTGTGTTAATCATCGTTGTTGTTGGACTGTGATCAATTCCTTGATTGAGTATGGTTTCATATATTCGTTGTGATCCGTTGATTGATTCCTGTTGTGGTATGGTGTCTTTGGCTGTACCTGGATTGTATGATTAGTGGTATGGGACACTAGTCACCAAGGTACGTCAGTGGTCCTCGTGGTGGCCATGAAGTGATTATGGAGTTTGTGGCCTTTGTGTAAGGTTCACGTATTTCTTGGGTGGCATGTGTTGTCGTGTGTGTGATCAGTACCCTTGTGTACTATGAAATCGGTGGTTCTGTTGGAGATCTATTGGAGAGGGGACGACGGTCCTCGGAGGAATAAGGTTGGACTTGGTGTACAGGGGTCCTGGAGGTAAAGGTTGGAACTAGACATAAGGTTAGGGGTAGCCATAAGGTTGGAACTGGACATAAGGAAGGCATATCAATTCGTGATGGGTGATGTCACGAAGGCTTGTGTAGCTGTTGTTGTGAGTTCTCTTATTGTGATGTGTGTAGTCACAAAGGCATGTGTTGCCTAGGCATGTGTTGCCATTGGTTGTGTCCTTATTTTCTTGAGTTATGCATGTCGGGTGTTAATCTACTGTGTGATGGTAGATTATACCTTGAGCCGTTCTTGTGAGTCGTTGTTGTTCTTTGTAGCCTTGGGATGTGTTCCCTTACTTCGTTGTGAGTGTTTGAGTCTTGTGTTGACTTTTGCTCTTGGCTATGAACTTATATATACGTATTCCATTTCGCCAATGATTTTATAAGCGTATATCTTATCTATGTATGATATTTCACATGTATTGGTGGGTTACCAGCATTATTCGCTGACCGGGCGTCGTCCCATCTTTTATGTGTTTCTTTCAGGTGATGTATAGACGTGAGCGCGGTCTAGAACCTGCTAGTGTAGCTCCCATGTTTTGTTGTTATGGCCTGTGTGCCAAGGATAGACTTTAGTACTTTGGACATGTATGGATTTTAGATTGTGGTTTATGCAGATGTTTGCCTATGCATTCACCTCTGGGTGGGCGTAGCATAGCACCCCTTTCGTTTCCAGTTTATATAATCCTTTTTCAGTCTTCCGCTGTGTTTGATGTTTTGTTTAGATATCTGCATGTTTAAGGCTTTAAATAGCATGGAAATTAGGGGGTGTTACAGTTGGTATCAGAGCCTAGGTTTGAGCCTTGGTGGGTAAAGTCTAGACTTCTAAGTGGCTAAGTGTGGTTTGAGACCTTAAAGTGACCTTAATAATCTAAGTGTTAGGCTTAGGACTTTAGGTTGCGCGGTGAGCTGAGCGGTGTTTGCAGTTGTTTGCTTATTTGTTATCTTTTTTGTAACCGTGTTGTTGTTGTAGAAGCTTTGCGATGTTTCCTCGTCGGCGTATCGTGTCGTTCGAAGAAGTGAGTGATGTCACCAAAAGACCCAGAACGACAGGAGTTCGTAACACTCCTAGTGTAGTCCAACAATGGATTCGAAGTGGCACATCCACTCGAATAAGCACCAGCACAGCTACCTTGCCATCGTTCCGTGATCTAAGAAGAAGTGGTGGGTTGGGGACCCAGAGTTTGTCAGAAGAGTTAACACAAGAGAGGACCCTCATCCTAAGCGAGGTTCGGGCGGGGGACAATGATGTAGTGATCGGAACATTTTTGGTGCATGTCGTTCCAGCGATAATTTTGTTCGATTCCGGGGCGTCCAACTCGTTCATATCCCCGGGACTCGTGAAGAAGTTGGACCTAACCGAAGGCGTCGGAGTGAAGCTAAGTGTCAAAGTGGCATCAGGAGAAATTAAGGCTTATGACCGTCTCTTCAAAGACGTTAAGATATCCATCGGCGGAGAAGAGTTTTTCAGTAATCTGATACAGTTCGGCCTGGACGGGGTAGATGTGGTCCTGGGTATGGACTGGCTAGGACGGTTCAGAGCCCAGATCTTGTGTGGTGAACAGAAAGTGGTTTTGAGAGGACCAAGTGGAAAGAGGGTGTCGTACCGAGGATCAACAGAAGAACCAGGGATCAAGTTAGTGTCCATAATGAAGATGAAAAAGTACGTGGGGAAGGGCCACGAGATCTTCTTATGCTCAGTTGAAAACCTGGAGGCCAAAAGAGATGTGGCTCAGACCATACCTATTGTATGTGAATTCCTTGATGTCTTCCCCGAGGAGATTCCGGGAATGCCTCCTCCGAGAGAAGTTGAATTCTCAGTGGATCTTGTACCAGGTACAGTGCCTATATCTAAAGCTCCCTATCGTTTAGCGCCCAAGGAGATGCAAGATTTGAAGACTCAGTTGCAAGAGTTGTTAGACAAATATTACATCCGACCGAGCACGTCGCCATGGGGAGCTCTGGTGTTGTTTGTAAAGAAGAAAAACGGTAGCATGAGGTTGTGCATCGACTACCGTGAGCTGAACCAAGTCACAATCAAGAACAAGTATCCCCTACCACGGATCGACAACTTGTTTGATCAACTCCGAGGAGCCGGAGTGTTCTCCAAGATTGATTTAAGATCAGGTTATCATCAGTTGAAAGTGGCAGACCAGGACATTCCTAAGACGGCGTTCCGAATGCGCTACGGCCACTACGAGTTCACGGTAATGCCGTTCGGGTTAACCAACGCGCCAGCAGTGTTCATGGACCTAATAAATCGTGTATTCAAGCCTCATCTCGACGACTTCGTGATCGTGTTCATTGACGACATCCTCGTGTATTCTCGGGATAAAGAAGAGCATGTGGGTCATCTTCGGACAGTACTACAGATTCTGAGGGAAAAACAGTTGTACGCCAAGCTTTCGAAATGCGAATTCTGGAAGGATAGCATGGCATTCTTGGGCCATGTGAAAGACAGCAGAGGTTTATCGGTGGATCCAGATAAGATTCGGGCGGTGAAAGAGTGGACCGTGCCGACAACCGTGGCGGAAGTAAGAAGCTTCTTAGGCTTAGCAGGATATTATCGAAGGTTTGTGTTGGACTTCGCTAAGGTGGCTCAACCGTTGACAAAGCTGTTGAAGAAGGATATGCCTTTCCAATGGAATCAAGCTTGCGAATTAGCATTCCGGGAGTTGAAAGAGAGGCTCACGACCGCATCGGTACTAATCCTACCATCCGGGACAGAGGGGTTCGAGGCATACAGTGATGCAGCTAAGAAAGGACTAGGTTGTGTGTTGATGCAAAATGGGAGAGTGATAGCTTATGCATCGCGACAGCTTAAAGTGCATGAGGAAAACTACCCCACGCATGATTTAGAGTTGGCAGCCGTAGTTTTCACTTCGAAGATTTGGAGGCATTATCTGTATGGCGTGCGTTGCAAGATCTTTACGGACCATAAGAGCCTCAAGTATATCTTCACCCAAAAGGATCTCAACATGCGACAATGACGGTGGTTGGAACTCATTGAAGACTATGAGTTGGACATACAATATCACGAAGGGAAGGCAAATGTTGTGGCGGACACTCTGAGTAGGAAGAACAAACATGCCGTTAGTTCCATTTGGGTAGTGGCTGACGAGCTTTGCAAGGAATTTTAAAGGATGAACCTAGAAGTGGTGGAACAAGGTGAAGTTGAGTCGGAAGCCCGTCTTTTCAACCTAAGAGTCATACCTACGCTTTTGGAGGAGATCAAAGCGGAGCAATGGAAGGATGCTAGCTTGATGAAGGCAAGAGAGGACCTGGAAAAAGAAATGGGGGGACCGTTTGAGTTGTCCACGGATGGAGAGTTGAGGTACGCGGGCCGTCTATGTGTACCTACATCTTGTGACCGGTTGAAGCGTCAGATTTTGGAAGAAGGCCATAATACACCCTATTTTGTACACCCTGGAGGAGACAAATTGTACAAAGACATGAAGAAGCTTTTCTGGTGGCCTAACATGAAGAAAGAGGTGGTGGAGTTTGTGGGCAGATGCTTGACTTGTCAAAAGGTGAAAGCGGAGCGTTGCAGGGTCAAAGGCTTAGTACAGCCATTGGAGGTTCGACAAGGAAAATGGGGCTCCATATCTATGGACTTCGTGGGAGGCTTGCCGGTAACCCGTTCCGGTAACGATAAAATCTGGGTATTAGTTGATCGCTTGACCAAGACCGCTCGCCTTATCGCGATGAAAGAAACATGGACAATGACGCATT